GTTTCAATACTTCAAGTTTTAAATAGTTTCAATACTTCAAGTTTTAAATAGTTTCAATACTTCTAGTTTTAAATAGTTTCAATACTTCTAGTTTTAAATAGTTTCAATACTTCAAGTTTTAAATTGTTTCAATACTTCTAGTTTTAAATAGTTTCAATATTTCAAGTTTTAAATAGTTTCAATACTTCAAGTTTTAAATAGTTTCAATACTTCAAGTTTCAACTCCTCTTTTCTCTCCCCAAGAACTTAACAGAAGGAATTGGCTTGTATTAGAGTTTCTTGTAGATGGGGGGGGGGGACTAATTTTTTAATTATATGACCCAAAAAAAACGAATTGTTAAATTTCTAGTAAGTTTGTCAGATTGTCACAGATTTCAAACATGTTTTAAAAACAGTTCAATAGAAAATTAGAAATAGAGGCGCGGAGTTAGCGGAATTTGTCATAGTTAATAACTTAAATATATAGATATATGCAACCTGCAGACCTATTAAGATTATATGCCTATATACATGCAGGCTTAAGGTTTAAAGGGTATCATGACCTTGCTTCATGAAAATTAATTCCAGTCTGCTAGTTCAGAACTTTATATACTGTCTCACTATACATACATACATACAGGGTGCCCTATAAACATGGGAATTCAATTTGTGACATTAAAATCGTCTCTGATATTAGAAAGTAAAAATCGTTATTACTTCTGAGCTTTCCAAAAATTTGAAATAAAAAATAAACCTGATTTTTTTACATTTTAGTCAATTTTTAAGATGAAAAACAGATGTTAACTAACTTCAATGTTTATTGCGACGCCCTTTATTAAGATATCAAACCATTCACAATATTAAGCAATTCATTAGATTAAAAATTTGTCACACTGTATAATATATATACACTGTATAATATATATAAACTTTATATGCGTGTAATTATTTCGTTAAAATTTCTCCTTTCAAACGTTCATTGTCAATGTAAGATTTTTCTCATGCCATCCAAAACTATTATTATAAATACTTATTTTTAAACCTTTGCACAGAAAATTTTCAATCACGAACCTAGGATGTGATTATTTTTATTTGTATCCATCAATTTTAAAAATTCAGCGGTTAGAGGATTACAGATTGCTGTTATTTTTTTAATTTTAACCCTGAAAATTTTCCGTCATATAATAGAACATTATAATAGAACATTTACGTAAATTTCATGTTTTTTATTTCTTTATCTTCTTCCCTTTGCATTGAATGAATTTGATGAATATATATTTACTATTATAAAGAGGATTTGATTATTGACGCGCTGTACGCAATAGTTCACATAACGTTTACGCAGATTGCGTAATCTTGGCAGGTGAATTTCCCTCCCCCCCTTCACCATTCCTTCCTTCACCCACTATATCAAGGAATACANACTTAAAACCCTCCTTCCACTCTTTTTGTTTATTATATCATTTTGCTCTATAATCACATGCAGAGCGCCCCCCCCCCCTTTTGACACTCCTTACGGTTAAATTGTTTTGAAATCTAAGCTATAGTTCATATAATGTTTCAATATTTTTGTTAATTATGTAATTATTATCTAGTATTTTAAGAAAACAAAATCACTACTTTAGGAATAAATTTTTCTCGAGCTGTAGGTTCCTTAGGTGTGCTGGTGGCCTCGGGCTGGACCTCGACAACCTCTTGAATAGTTTCGAGGTCAGAGTTTAGGTCTGGGAGGTCAGGGAGGTTGTTATTATCATCCCTACCCCGGGCACAGAACGGTAGGGAGGCTAGAGCTCCCATCCCTGCTCTTTAGTTAATACTGAATACTAGCGTGCGTGCACGCTTTCCTAGCGCCGGAGGTTGGCGCCGGGGCCTACATTCATGCGCCCGGATAAATAGATAGATAGATAGATCCTGTGGGTGGCGCCGGCGCCCATGAAGAAAACAGGTTTAGAAACATTTCACAAATTTTTAAAAAGAAGACTGAAAAATGTACAGATGACAACATCATCCAGGACTCCACACTGCACAGGGTTATAGAGAATCTTCCTCAAAGTCTGGAAAAGTCCAAAACTAATAAAATGTTGAAAATATTCAAATTTAAATGTATTTTGCATTAGCTACAGATATTATATTACATATCAAACTTTCTTTTAGTTCAGTAATTAAAGAGACTGTAAACGTAATTAAAGTGAGACCCTCCATGGACAGAGGGGCAGATCCTCTTCACCACTACTTTGTTTTAGAAACAATCTAGGTTCCCGGTGCATCTTCTTTGTATCTACTATCTATCTATCTATCCATTGATATAAAATGTTCCTGACTCCTGGATATAAAACGATCTAGGTTCCTGGTGTATCTTCCTTGTATCTACTATCTATCTATCTATTGATTAAATGTCCCTGACTCCTGGATATAAAACTATCTAGGTTCCTGGTGTATCTTCCTTGTATCGACTATCTATCTATCTACTATCTTTCTACATACTATCTATTTATCTACTATCTATCTATCTACTATCTATCTATCTATCTATCCATCTATCTATCTATCTATCTATCTATCTATCTATCTATCTATCTATCTATCTATCTATCCTTCTATCCATTGATATAAAATGTCCCTGACTCCTGGATATAAAACGATCTAGGTTCCGTTTTCAATAAATCATCCGGTGTTATCAACTTCTTAGATTATCATTCCAGTAACATCATTTTCAATTTCATCGATCAATGTAAAATGCATAGCGAACTAAAAGTTTAAACCATGTTGATTAATTTTAAAAAGATTTAAACGTAATTATTCAATTCACGATTCACATACCTTTATATATATATATATACTAGAAATTCAAGGCGCTTCGCGCCCTTCTTTCTAGCCTTAGAGGGCGCTTATATATACACATAGGTACCTATAAAATCCATTTAAAATCTAATTTCCATATTTTTTGCTTTAAATCGAAAGGATTTGCCGTGCAAGTTTAAAACTCTCTAAATAAGTAAGCTTACTCAGCTTAGAATTTTAAAACCTAATAAGAAAATATTTCCATGTTCTATTGAGTTCCTCAATAAAAATTTGAGGCAAATCGGTCAAAGGGTTCATGAGTTATGATCGGAAATACAACCAAATACAAAGATTGCTACTATATACATGAGATGGTCAAATATATAAATTGAATTGAAATTTTGTTCTTTCAGCAGTCGCGCTTTTCTCTGAATTTTCAATGATAATCTGGATTTTCTCAATTACTCTTCTGAAAATTTTGCATTGTTGGAATAAATATCGTAAAAAATGTGCAACTAGACAAATCATGGCATGACAAATAAAATTAAACCATCTTTAACTTTTAATTCAAACTGTCCCTGAAAATTATATACTGGCAAAACGTCTTGAGTATAAGACGAGCACGGAGCGTTAAAAATCCTTGTATTTGAATATATGATGATGATGATGTTAAAATGTGTCATGCATCGGGAAATATGATGTCCTCAGTACTTTACCTTGGGGTGCTCCACTGCAAATACAAATTGCTTAAAGGGACTGTTAAGGCCCAAAAATTTTAGAAGTTGACATAGTTGTATATCAATTTATCAATTTCTCGAGACAGATACATCAGATAGAACTATTATTGGTCGTGATCAACTCCTACAATTTTTAGCCTATACCCCCCTTTTATTTTACCTTTACAGTCCATTTAAATCGGCATTCAATATATAGTTAGTAGTTACTGCTATTTATTGTGATTGAGTTGAAGTTTAAGGGATCAATTTTTTATTGAAGAAGTGAGTACAAAATTATTATTCAATATAAGTTAGTAGTTACTGCTATTTATTGTGATTGAGTTGAAATTTAAGGGATCAATTTTTTATTGAAGAAGTGAGTACAACATTATTATTCATGATCAATCACAAAGATATCCTTTAATGAATTGTCTCTTGATGAATACTGATTTAACAGATAAAGTTCTTTTTTAAACATTTTTCAAAAAATTGATTAGTTTGCTAGGAGGGAGCAGGAACCAGGGAAGTAGGAGGGGGGGGGCGGATTTAGTTTAGTTTGCTAAGAGGGAGCAGGGAGGGGGAGGTGGGGATTTGGTTAGTTTGCTAGGAGGGAGCAGGGAGGGGGAGGTGGGGATTTGGTTAGTTTGCTAGGAGGGAGCCCAGGGAGGGAGTACTGAAGGGCATTGTTTTAAGGCCCGTTTCTAAACATTCAAAGTTTTTAGGCTTTTTGAAGGCTTCACAAGGATCTGAGATGCATATCCTATTAGATAAGTTTGCTCTTATTACACAGAGCAAAATATTTGCTCTGATAAAAGATATTTACCAACGCGATTTTTCAAAACGGAAAACGATTTTCTAATCGTTGTGAAAAATCGCTTCGGTTAATATTCTTAATCAGAATAAAAATTCAGCTGTGTGCAATAAAGGCACAGTTGTCCAACATGCAATTTTGAAATAGAATGTGCATCTCAGATTATTGTGAAGTCGTCAAAAAGCCTATCATGCAGTGAAAGGTTGCCAGACACATTCAGGCAGCTAGGCCTGTATGTATAAGGTATATATATATATATTTGAAGTAGTTATCTCTGTTTGTCTGTCCGAGCTAAACTCATAAACCCCTGGACCGATTTGCCTTAAATTTTGATTGGGAAACTCGGTGGAACCATGGGATTGTACTTGTACTAGTTTAAACATTCTATAATAAACTTTTAGAGCGAAAGTTTAGATTCCAAGGAAACCGCATTTTAAACCGTTAATCGTACCTCCCTTTTAATTATAAATTAAAGCACTAGAAACCTTCAAGAAAGGGTTGAATAAAAATCTAAAAGTTAAATATTTATTTTCAATGGTAAGAAGACATATTATAATTCAATCTGAACACTTCCAGATAAAAACTGCTGTAGTCCCAGCAAACAAAAGTGTCATCTGCGACTCTAAATCGTAGGTACAATCAACCTGTAAACAAAATATAGTAGATCGGTACAATCAAACTGTAAACAAAATAAAGTAGATCGGTACAATCAACCTGTAAACAAAATATAGTAGATTGTAGGTACAATCAACCTGTAAACAAAATACTGTAGATCGTAGGTAAAGTCAAGCTGTAAACAAAATATAGTTGATCGTAGGTACAATCAACCTGTAAACAAAATACAATAGATTGTAGGTACAATCAACCTGTAAACAAAATATAGTAGATCATAGATACAATCAACCTGTAAACAAAATACAGTAGATCGGTACAATCAACCTGTAATAAAATATAGAAGATCGTGGGTACAACAAACCTTTTAACAAAATTCAGTAGATCGGTACAATCACCCTGTAAACAAAATTCAGTAGATCGGCACAATCAGCCTGTAAACAAAATACAGTAGACTGTAGACAAAAGAATTGTTTACGAAAATTCTGAGAATTAATTTTCCGGAAATTTCCGGAAATAACTAAGCATAGATTTGAGCAGAACTGGTGTTTATTGGTTTTGAATGTGAAACCTGAAATCCATCTCCAACAATAACGTTCCAATGTCCGCCAAACTTCTCATCCATTGTTACTTTTATAATTTCAGCACACTATAATAAAAAATAATTAAATATAAAATTATTCTTTGAATTAAAAAGAAAAATTCAATAAAAGTGATTCAGTTGAAGTGCGTAAAGGATTTATTACAGTTCTATTAACAGTTTGCAGAAAATTATTCAGACCTGCGTGTAATGAATATTATCATCAATCGTAACCCTCTTTTTAAAAGTAAACTGATCAAGTGTTTCAACCAATCAATTGTTACCTCTGAGTTGATAGAATGCTTCTCCAAACTTGAAATACAAATATCAACAACATCCTGCAGTACAGTAAGAATATTAACATATCCTGCAGTACATTAACAACATTAAACACAACCTGCAGTACATGAATAATATAAAACACACCCTGCAGTACATTAACAAAATTAAACACATCCTGCAGTACATTAACAACATTAAACAAATCCTGCAGTACATTAACAATATAAAACACATCGTTACAGTACATGAAAAATATTAAACACATCCTACAGTAAATTAACAACATTAAACACATCCTGCAGTACATAACAACATTAAACACATCCTGCAGTACATTAACAACATTAAACACATCCTGCATTACATGAACAATATAAAAAACATCGTTACAGTACATGAAAAATATTAAACACATCCTGCAGTACATTAACAACATTAAACACATCCTGCAGTACATACATTAACAACCTGAAATATATCGTGCAGGCAGTACACTAAAATGATCCTGCTGTACAGTAACCCTAAACAGGCTGGGTGGGGGGGGGGCGTTTCACGCCCCCATCTATTTTTTTTTGTCCTAGCACTCTCAGTTTTGACATTATCCCGGTGAAATTTGTGACTTTTAATGAATAGAAATTTAAAGGATTTTTTGTAAATCTTTTTTTTATTGATTAAGGTAGGGTACAGGGCGGTAAAAAGGCCGGTCTGTGTAAAAAAATCTAAAATAGCCCATCACTTTTTTGTGAATAAAGTTACAGATCTAAAAATTATATTTTTTAAAAGCCAATGAAAAAACGATTAGAAACATGTGTCAAACTTTGCTATTTGTTTAAAACAAAAAATATTTTTTACCTTTTTTTACTTTTTTTTTGGCATTGTTTTCAACCTTCCCTAGCACACAAACTATTAGAGTTATGGGTATAATTTTTTTCCAATGAGCTGGCCTTAAAAAATTGGACTATGAACATTCATTTCAACCCTTTCTCTAAGGCCTTATCCAGGGGGGGGCCCACCTCCCAGGCTATACATAGATTCAGATCCCCCAGCCTCCATAGGGTTAACAACATTAAACATTTATCTACCTTTTTTATCTCTGTTGGCATATCTGAATTATCTACCTTTTTTATCTCAGTCGGCATATCAGATTTATCTACCTTTTTCATCTCAGTTGGCATATCTGATTTATCTACCTTTTTATCTCAGTTGGCATATCTGATTTATCTACCTTTTTCATCTCAGTTGGCATATCTGATTTATCTACCTTTTTCATCTCAGTTGGCATATCTGATTTATCTACCTTTTTCATCTCAGTTGGCATATCTGATTTGCTCACAAACCTGGAATCAGGTGGTCACCATGGGCCTGAGTCTATTGTAACAGAATCTACAGAGGTCAAAAAAGGACGACATGCAATCTCAGGCCCATGGTGTGGTTTACTAGTTTATTCTTCAAGTGTGTCCGTGAAAAAATTAAGTCTGAATTGGATTTGAAAATGATTAGTAGCAATCTTGTTTTCTCTGATGTTTTAGTAAAGAGAGAATTGTAAAAAGTCGGTTATAGCTGATTTTTTAAGTCGGAATCTTTCATATGAAAAAGTTAAAGGATTAGGTTGAAAAAAATTGAATGATTTAAGATTGCTTTTTTTATACTAATCGATATCAAATTCAAGTAAGGTTTCCCAAACAATCCCTTTAATACAACTCTGGGAATAAAAAGCACTCTAAAAAATGTTTGCATTTGTATTTATCATTGAGAGTTACATCAAAGATGGAAATCTGTGCAACTTAAAAGTTTTTTTTCGTCGTTTTTTGCAGAATTGTTTGAATTTCAAGTGGTTTTTAATTCTGATTTTTTATTGTGTATTGCGCAACACCGTCACCATGCATACATGTAATGTGATGAATATAAAAACAATGTAAAGTAAATATTTAGTATTGTGTCTTTGTTTTTACTGTATATTCATTTATCTATGGTTTTTACTTACCCGTAGGAGAAAACAATTTTTCGACCTGAAAAAAATATGATTTTATGAAAATAAAAAAACTTAAATTGTAAATAATTGATTTAATTTTTAGACCTGCATCTTCCTCCTTTTTCCCTGCATCGTCTCCCATTTTATTTTTAAAATATTTTTTTGCTGTAAAGGTGGGTTTCACTCAACAAGGTTACAGTGTATAGAGTGATGATGTACGCTAATCCTTTACTAATTTTATAGGCCATAAACTATACCGAGAGCATACTGCATATTTCTTCATTATAAGTTGATTCCGGCCTAACCTATAGTACAGGGTGTCCCAAAAAACATGGGAATTCAGTGACGAATTCGATATCGTCTTTGTTATGAATTAGCATTGTAATACCTAATTTCAAAAGACCTAATATTATTATGTCTGCTAGAGTTCATTTAATGAAAAGGGTAAAAGACTGCAAAGATGTGTCTATAATGTCTCCGCAAGATGAACAGTGAATACGGACAAGTTTACTCTGTTTGTATACTGTAATTTTCTTGTTTTACTAAGTACAACCGTATGCAGTCAAAACATAAACAAACAAAATGTAAACATAGCAGACGAAACTCTTACAGATTACAGCTTTCTCAGTAGGTATCACTATACTAAATCAAAGAATTATTTGAAAAGACGATATCGAATTCGTCACTGAATTCCCATGTTTTTTGGGACACCCTGTATATCAATATTAGTAAACAATTGTAAAAATTTTAAAATTAGCCATAAGAAAACAGGTATTAATTTATTTAATCTAAACCTTAAAGCTATGCAATATTCGGGTACCTTTATTCCAATGAAATAAAAATTTTGAAATATTAGAATATGTAAAATTTGGAACCTTCTAAACCAAAACAATGCAATTCGAACTCGAGGATTATACCAGTCAAGACCAGTCAAAGTTTTTCATCAAAAATAGTTTTTTTTCTCTGAAACTAATCTTCTAATCTCTCGAGTATTCAATAAAATAAAATCCATAAAGCTGTGGCATAGGAAGACGATATTAAAGCAATATTTTGTGTATTTGATTTGGTTTTAAAGAATACTGTTAAACCCGTCCAGTGCAGTGGGTTGAAAATAAACTTATTAAGTGAAATGGGTCTGTGTACACTGCACTGTTTCATGTTCATTAAGCTACAGGGTGTCCCACGAAACATGACAGTTGGTAAATAGTTTTAAATGTCGTCTTCCATACACTGTATTAGATATTAAAGGCTGTTAGCAGATTATTTCGTTTAAAAAATCTTTTGTACAAATATATTTTACTTTGAAGTAAATTTTAGTATATAAGATGACTCTTATATAATATTTTATTATTGTCTTTGGTATTAAACAACTTAACAAATTATGGAACAGGACATTCTGAACTATTTTCCAACTGTCATTTTTCGTGGGAGGGTGTACTTAATTCTAACAGTCGTCTTACTAATCAACAGTTCTGTAGGGTTCACTGTACAAAAAAAATCAATGTCTCTTTTGTGAATTTGAACTGTTCAGGCTTAAGCCAGCCTAAATAAAACTCTACTGTGAAGAGTTGAAAGTTTAATTTATCTGCATTGTTATTGTTATTGTTTATTCCAGTAGGAGACCACCCCCCCTCATCCTTTCAACCATTTTCCCACTCCTCCCTCTTCCCTTTTTGTTTCTTCATTCAATCCAAAACATGGTGGATTAAATTATCACTTTCAAATCGTCTTAAATAAATTTGTAAATATAAATTGTTTAAATTTGTGCTTGTTTGTAGAACCAAGGGAATGTTTTTTGTAACAAAAATCCACCTCCCCCCCCCCTACAGAATCCTTACTTACGCCCCTGGAATTAAGTCACAATTAACATTTCTTACATAAATCCAACTTTACTATTTGTTGTCGTCTTTATTAGAACACCTCTACAGTTAACAGGCTGTGGCCCCTGAGGGGGGTAATTTTCTTTCACTTAAAATCTTTGTAGGGTTTTTAAGTTTAGTTTTAATGAAAACTTGTTGAAATTACTAAATAAAAATAAAAAATTAAGTAATAGATATTAAAAAAGTATTGTTTATTACGTTATGCCTTTATCACAATACATACATTAAAATAACAGCGTCAAAATAAGATTTTTTATAAGCAAGTAAATATTCTTTTGTTTCATACATTCCAATTTAAAAAATAAAAAGTGAAAATTTGCATAGCAACTATATTTTAGGTCAATTATTTATAATGATCAATAAAACTTTGAACAACTTAACGATTTATTCGACATACATAAGATTTATTCCTAGCAAAACTTTTCATCAAATTTTTATAAAATGAATTTTTAACATTTGCAACATCAGATAGATTAACGTAAAATATATGAATTGAATGTTTTCAAAACAATATTTAAAAATCATAATACTCCATGAATTGTAGAGGGAGATAGGTGGAATACCCCAAAATCTGAAAAAAATGTTTAATAATTTTTCTTTCGCAACCTTCTTGAGAGCCTTATTTAAGAAAAATAACAAGTAAGAAAAATAAGGATTCATTAATAGGTACGAAACATTAGACTGGCTTTTTAAAACTTCATTAGTAACTTTATTTTTTTCATGAAAAAATATACACAGGATATGAGCATAATTTGACAATTATTCAGTGATAATCAGAAAACTCTGAAATAGGAAGACGACTTTTAGACTCAAGTTATGGCTTGAAATAATCCGATAAGCATGGAAAACAGTAATTCGCTTAATTATTTGCTTTGTAACAGCATCAAATACACTAAATATTGCTATAAAGTCGCCTTCCTATTTTAGAGTTTTTTGGTTATCACTGTAAATAGAAAATATGATTTTTTTTGATAATGTTGGATAAAATGATTAAATTAAAGAACTAAATGCAAGTTTCTTCATTCTTTTTATTAATTTTCCCCTATTAAACCCTTAAATTAATGTTTGGCGCTATGCACAACATACCTACCTGAATAATTTTTTTAACATTTTTAAAGAAAATATATACCCCTGAGTATACCTTGTTTTAAGGAAAAGTAATGTATCCAAAATTCACTTTATAATCTCTGCACCACACAGCGATCCATCTGAACATAATTTAATCAGAATTATTTGACTAAAATTAAATAGCATATTTGTGACTTAAAATTTCAGCAAAAATTTATTTCCGAAATTAAATAATATCGTCAAATTTTAATCTTTGGAACCAAAAGATGCTTTATGATGGCTGGCAAAAGTGTTTTTTTTTTTACTAAATATATAGCATGCTTGCCTATCTAGCTGGGCGTTTTAGATTCGATATGCAGTGTTTATTATTTAGTCATTGAATACAGCCTACTTGTGAGCAGTGATTACTAATTAGGATGCTTTTCATTTTGATGCGGATCCGGATCCAGGTCCCAGATTTCGCAACCTTATTATCAACTGAAAAATGTAAAAAAAAATCGCTCATTTTTATGTAAAATTTAAAATGACCTATTTAGAGATAAGGAAGTTGTTATTAATCTCTTTATTAGTCAACAATTGAGATCTGTGTTTTGAGAGGACAATATCAAGTTTTGGTTGAAACTTTGCCCTTGGAACCGAATCAACGGATCCGCATATTTTTGCTGATCTGGATCCAGGGAGCCAAAATGTCACAGATCAGGATCCTAAGCACTGCAATTGCTTCGAACAAGCATAATCATAATAAAGATGTAAACCTGATATTTCTGGTTGATTTTCCAGAGGGAAGTGTGAGTAGAACATCCTTAGACCCGTCGAAGGCAGGTAGGATTGGTATATCAGTATTCACATCTAGAACTATATGTTCTGTTTTTCCCAGTCCTGTCTGTTGCTGTCTGTTGCTCATGGTTGCTGTCTGATACTATCGATGCTGTCTTTCCTTCCTGTCCTGTCTGTTCTTTCTGTCCTGTCTGTCACATCTGTCATATCTTTCCTGTCTGTCATATCTGTCAAATTTTTCCTGTCTGTCATATCTGTCATGTCTATTATGTCTGTCCTGTCTGTTATATCTGTCCTGTCTGTCAAATCTGTCCTGTCACAGTCCTGTCTGTCATCCTGTTTAAACATACTTGATGTACTTCTGGAGTTAGGTTTGGTTCCTGATTCTCCTGCAAGGAAGAAAGCATCTGGTCCTTCCCCGTCATATTCAAATCCCTAGATAGATAAATACTAAAAATACTATACTCAGATCCCTAGATAGATAAATACTATACTCAGAGCCCTAGATAGATAGATACTATACTCAGATTCCTAGATAGATAGATACTATACTCAGATACCTAGATAGATAGATACTATACTCAGATCCTTAGATAGATATTTACTAAACTCAGATCCCTAGATAGATAGATACTAAACTCAGATCCCTAGATAGATAGATACTATACTCAGATACCTAGATAGATAAATACTATACTCAGATCCCTAGATAGATAAATACTATACTCAGATCCCTAGATAGATAGATAGATAATATACTCAGATACCTAGATAGATAAATACTATACTCAGATCCCTAGATAGATAGATACTATACTCAGATCCCTAGGTAGATAAATACTATACTCAGATCCCTAGATAGATAGATACTATACTCAGATCCCTAGATAAATAAATACTATACTCAGATCCCTAGATGATAAATACTATACTCAGATCCCTAGATAGATAAATACTTTATTCAGATATCTAAATAGATAGATACTATACTCAGATCCCTAAATAGATAGATACTATACTCAGATCCCTAGATAGATAGATACTATACTCAGATATCTAGATAGATAGATACTATACTCAGATATCTAGATAGATAAATACTTTATTCAGATATCTAGATAGATAGATATTAAATAATCTTGTCATAATTAACCCTACCTTGATCAATATTTGATTATAATTAACCCTACCTTGATCAATATTTGATTATCTCCAACGATATGAACTGTTCCAGCGATATCGTGGAAAATGTTGATGAGTTCTCCGACCTCTTCTAAAATAAAAACAAATTAAATTTTGATTATTTTGAGTCACAACTCACAGACTCGAAGGTTATGATAATCTCAACTTTATAAAAGGTTTTAGATAGGTCTACATTAGTAGCCTTCGATTGTATGACATTTTTTCAGGCACGTGTAGGAATATACTTATTCCTGATGCATGGCAGGTGTGCTACACAAAACATGAAAACTGTGTAAAGAGATTTGAATGCTTGGTTTCCCTGTCTGATGTTGATTTAGCAATCTGAAGCTGCTGAACTATCTCGTCGCATGATCTTAATAGTATAAAGAATTATTAGATAAAATTCTTTAAGTAATTGATCATAATTTTCTGCTTTTTTGGTTATAACATAAAAATGAAAAACAATTGATTTTCTCGAAAAAACCTTCACAAAGATACATTTTGTCATATTTAATTTTCTTAAATTAATTAATATTCGAAAGTAGCAAAAGATGACAATCATAGATTTATTCAAGGTTTCTTGTCTGTTTTTTCTTCTCTTTTACAATGAAATTTATCATCTAAACTCTGCAACAAAAAAAAATGCTGGCAGATAATCATTTCAAGACGGACAAGAATCACTTTAAAATGAATTTTTCATTATGTGATTTTCATAATTTGCATCACAAAATAAATACTTGAGATCATGACAAAAACATTTCCGATGTTAAGATAGCTAAATGATATTTCAGAGTTTAATATGAAAACAACATTTTCCTGTTCTAATCAAATATTTTTTATTTACAAAATGACATTTCAGATTTTTGTTAAGTCTTCTAGTTTTGTTTTTCCAACTTTAAAATGAAGTTTCATTAAGATTAGATAATCAAATGATAAATAATGAACATTTTTAAGCTTTAGCCATAACTTCATAGAGAATAGAATATAAATTAGAGAGGAATTTACTAGAAAAAAGTGTAAAACGGCCATTTTGTTGTACTGTTTCAATACTGCAGGTGTACTTCACATATTTATGCTATATAACCTTTTGGGCCCTGGAATATCATTTTATAGAAAATCTAAAATTAATAGTAAAAGAAAACCAAATTATAAATCAAATGATGTTGTTTTTTATTCACCTAATTCATTATAAAGTTTATTTAACAGCTTTAAAAAATTCGAATTTTTAATGAATAGTCTAGGGAACATTCTGTATTAATGTACTCTACTGCATATAATTTGTGAACATTTACATGATTTGTACACTAAGAACTCCCTTTCAGGCTGAAAGGGACTGAAAAAATTCATACCGAGAGATTCTTTAAATTCCCCTTAAATATAAATTCTATTCTCTATGCATAACTTTGTATCTATCTAAACAAGACTAAGCATACAGAGCGTCCCATATTTTGTGTTTCCTTCAAGCTTAAAACCCATGTACTTTATTCGAGTATTCACCATGAACGTCTAAAAATGTGCATGATAAATATTTGCTCTGCATTGCAAAATAATTCCACCTCTAAGGCTCTGATAAATCTTGTTGATTCAGCAAACATTATTTGCAATTGCACAAACAAACAACCTTTAACTATGGCGTATTTTATATTTTTTTACCATGAACAAAAATTTACCTAATAGGGATGCAAGATTCAGAGGCTCTGCAATCTAAAATATATTAAGTTTTAGTTTTTAATAAATAAATATTATTGTTCATGAAGAAAAAGGTAGAATTATCTGTAAGAAACTTGTTCGTTCAAAATCAAGTTTTAAGATTTCAGGTCTGCTAGATAGTTGGATAGATAGTTACATNCCCCCCTACCCTTGTTAAGTTTTCTTTCTTTGTTTCAGAAAATTTGAATGGAAAAAAATGACAGTGTGCAAGGCAGTATCCAGGCTCCAGCATAGGTCGTAAACCTAGCGCCCAGCCCTTCTCTTTGCATCAACAAATGGTAATGCATTGCTGTAGCAATGGTAATAAAATAACGTTGAAATTTTTACTAAATAGACTGATAAATAGAAATATAATTAGTTAGGTTTGCTAGTATGGTAAAAAGGAAGATAGGTTACTAGTTAGATAGATAGGGTATAGTTCAGAGGCGCAACTAGGACTTTTGCTAGGGGATATTGGTCAAAACTCAAAGGCGGTAAAANAGATAACCGGACCTGCATTACCAGACAGCATAGATAGCTTACCAGACAACAGAATAGCTTGTCAGACAACAGAATAGCTTGTCAGACAACATAGATAGCTTACCAGACAACAGAGATAGCTTGTCAGACAACATAGATAGCTTACCAGACAACATAGATAGATGGAGTACCGTCTGCAAAGCATGTATAATCATATGGTAGGGCGAACCGCGTCAGTTGTCTCTCCCTTCTATTCCTTGCTCCCTGGTCAATCCGTTGTCAGGTTGGTAGGTAAGTTCATTGATCATTGCGTATGATAAGTTAGTAGATTGGTAGGTAGGTTTATTGGTCATTGCGTTGTTAGGTTGGTAGATTGGTAGTTAGGATAGTTGGTAGTTTAATGAGATTTTGCAGCCACACCTTGGAATTTTTTAACAAAGAAATCATTTAAAGGGTCTGTAAACGTAATTTCAAGTGACCCTGTATTTATAAACTGGCAAAGAAATTGTGAGAATTAAAGACTTTTCAAACTAGAAAACGACAATATCTTTTAATGATCTTATAAAGGTTTAAAGGTACCGGTGTGAATCAGCGCACGCCACTCTTTAAACGGAGGAGGGTAACATGAAATACGCTTATATAATATACATTTAGTCCCTTTAAACATTACAACCATCTTCTAACCGTTAATCTTAGTTTAATGCTTTTTTTGTCTACTTTCATTACATTTTAAATTTTATATTCTTTTACTATTTAGTTTCCGTAGCCAGATTTTTTTATTTTCTCTGTCCCCTTTTATCGCCCTCATTTAAACAATGTCTAAGATGATTTCATCGTCATTTTTATGTTCAAAGTGTCGAATCCTGACAATTTCTTTAATTGTTTTTGAGAGAGAAAACTGCCAGAGACAGTGAAAAATAATATTTTCCAAAATTGAAATCTTAATCATTCTTGATTATAAAAAGCGTTTAAGGGAACTGGTGTGAATTGTACATGCCACTCCATAATTTCAGCTTTACCCAAATTCATTAAAATTAAATTTCTATAAATGCTCAGCTATTTTACTTTCTCTGTTTTAAACCCATACAACTAAATATACTCCCCATTCCCCTTTGAGGAAGAGGAAGTAAGAAGATCGCAAGTTGGAGCAGAGCAGAGCAGTGCTAAGGGTTGGGTACGGAGCAAGGTTTAATTCCTGGGTTCCAACAGCTCAGGGTTGGGTCAGGGATACCGGCTTTTTCCTCCTTCTAACCTAGTATACGGAGTAAACCGGATGGTTCAAAAACCTTAAACCAAGAAACATGGAGGAAATAAGGAAGGGGGAAATCGACAAAAACGCCCTCAACAGCTGATTGGGCTTTACTCTGTGAGTAGACATGGAAACCATAAAATCCTCCAAGACATACGTACCATGTTTTCTAGAACATCATGTCTTATGATATCCACGTGTAAAGCTAGAGTTGCATCTCTAGGTCTGCATACACATAAACCCAGGCACTAGGCACTATAGCAGACATTCAGGCATTTTCTTTACAACTCTTAAAATGCCCTCCCCCCCCTTGATGTAGAATTAGACCGGGGTTTCAGTAAAATATTAAATTATCCGCCGCAAATGGATTTAGAAAATGAAACATTCGAAAACACATTTCTGTTTCTTTTCTTAGAAATCAAATTTCAGTTATACAAAACACTGTAGATACAAATGTGACCGATTTAATTGATATAAATACAATTAGGGGTGGGACAGAAGAGATAGTTTGTTTGATACAGGTGAGGGGAGGGGCCGGGGGGGGGGG